TTCAAAAGTCGCTGATGAAGCCATCTTTCGCTCTGTTTTATAGAAAGGTCCATGGGCTTTTATTTTTCGACGTTGCTTGATGTGTTGCTCGATGAATCAAGCATTTCATCGTGATAAATTATGTTGCTCAATGAATCAAGCAAACTATCGAGATAAATTTGTCAGCTCGATATGTTGCTCGATGAATCAAGCAAACTATCGAGATAAATTTGTAAAAATAGCTATTTTGATGTCTCCTTGTCGAATAGCTTGCTGGAGCGAGAAATTTGGCGAGATGCAACATAAAACCAATCATTTGGTTTCCTTTTAGCTTGAATCTTGTCTTCCTTCGGCTCCTTGATCCATCAATGCTCCAATATGGTGATTTTGACCAGAAACCGATACATTTTGAAGTCAGTATCTTACCAAACTTGAAAACTAGAAAAGTATTTTGAATCTAACAATATTTGTTATATCTTTAATCATTTACATCAATATTTATCATACTTTTAGCCTTAATAATATAGTACATTTTACACCTATCAGATCACAACCTTGCACAAATCCATATAAGTGGAAATCTTTTTTACAGTTTCATTAAGTTAACCCTTTAAATTAAGGAATTCCCTTTCACTTTAGTACTCTAAAGTCACATTACTAAAGAATATGGAAATAATACATGATTTACAATAGTGGGAATTGAACACATAATCTAATATAAATTACCCAAATTTCTCACCACTAGATCAATTCTAGTGGCTTATAATATATACATGCTTTTAACTATCAAATTAATGACATGTTGCATTTTTATAGCAGCATGATCTTCCATGCATAACTGCATATTGTCAAAATATGGCGAATCGAGTACCAAATGTAGCTTAATCTTTTTAAAAGCTTTACCATATTTGTATGGCTTTCCGAGGAATATATATAATGTGAATAACGAATAAGAACTAAACACTATCTTCAGATTGACACAAGACATATAATTATATTCATTCATTAAAAAAATAAAAAATGAAAGTTATAGTTGAAAAATGTCGAGGTTGTTGAAATATCCATACAATCTGTGTTGGAAACCAAAAATGTTGGGATATCCAGTATGAAATCTAGGAAATGTTGATTCTGTACCACCCATTATAAAGACAATTCTTTGCCACAAGTGCATAAATATGAAGTAATACTAGGATAGATAGAAAGATAGAGATGTAGATATTGTTTATACAATTTGAAAAATAAAATAGAAGATAAGGTGGGATGAGAAGTGGTTTCAGTTTCAAGCATTATTAGGTAGGGAGAAAGAGAGGTAGAAGAAGACAAACTTAGCCTTAGGTGTTCCCCTCTCAATTGCACATAAGATGGGCCCTGCACCATATCTTCTCATATACTGTAGTGTTGTAGAAAAATATACACATAAAGAATTGAAGAATTTTTTTTTTTTTTTAATTTAAAAAAAGAGTATTAAAAATGTTATTTTAAATTGTGTGTGTGTGTTCATAATAGTGGTATTGGCGGTAGTCATAGAGAAAAAAACAAATAGAGGGTAGCTTGAGGTGGTGGGGAGGGGAGATGGTAATGCAGAGGCACAGCTCCAATATTTTTGTCATCTGAGAAGTGACAGAGGTAATAATAGTTGGATTTTGTTTCTGCAGTTCCAAACAGGGCCCCTCCAATACCCACATCTTCAGTAGATACTTCTCTACTACTAATTATTGTTATCGTTCTTTTACTGTTTTCTCTGAGCAGATACCTCTCTCTCTATTTGCGTGTGCCTTTGTGTCTGTCTGTTTGTCTTCAACCTCTTTCTTTCTTTCTTTTTCTTTTTTTTTTTTATCGTACATGAAACAGCATTAATAATGTACAATAAAAGCAGAGCATTAACAGACATATCTTTCTACCCATTTTCATCATAACACGTCCTCCACTAGCCCTTCTGAACAGGGGATGTGTAAAAAAAATTAAAATAATAAACTAAATTAAATTATGAATTGTATTTAAAAAAATTAATTTTTAAAAATTAATTCTTCAACTAAATTATTTTTTAAAAATCAATTTTTGAACTGAATTGTTTTTTAAAAATCAATTCATAAATTGAATTGGTTTATGAATCGAACTAATTTTCAAAACCAATTTAAAAACCTTTAAAAATTATTAACCAAATTGATTTTATTTTATTTTTGGGTAAACTTTTGATTTTTTTTCTTAATTTTTTATTTATTTATTTTGTTCCTTCTTTTATTGTTATTTTTATTACTTTATTTCTTTAATTTTTTTTCTCTTATGTATTTTTTCTTTATTTTTAATTGTTTATTGCTTTTTTTTCAAATTTGTGGTATTATTTTATTTTTATTTTTAATTGTTTATTTCTTTTTTAAAATTTGATGTATTATTTTATTTTTTCCCTTAATATTTTCATACTTTTCAAATGTAAGTCCTATATGTCTTTGTTTCAAATAAAAAATTTAAGAATTATTTCGAATCAAAAATAGTTCGAAACCAGTTTGAAAATGGTTATAGTTTGGAATTGATTCGAAACCAATTCATAATCGATTCAGGTCGAACTAGTTCGAAACTGAATCAAATTAGTTTCAAACCAAACCAAACTGGTTCAATTAAAAGAAAAAATTTGGTTGAAAAAACCAAACCAATTTAAACCAGTTCATTTCAGTTCTAAAAAAAAAAAAAAACCAATTCAGGTGCACGCCTACTTTAAATTACACATGATTTAAATTACCGTCTCCATTTTAATCTTTTCTCTCTTTTCGTGAGTCTTGGTCAATGTTTGTTTGTTTTTATTCTGGACTGGATGGATAACCTCATCCATGCATCTAACGAACTGCCCACATGGTTAATTCGACCAACTTACTAGAGAATAAATGATCTTTCATAAATTTGATTATTCATCACTCTCAGGTACACTTAACCCTTACGTTCGAGGAGTCACGCAGCCACAGTCCATCAGCTCACAGCCTATAGGACTAAAAAACAGTTATCACATCATATTTTTCATGCTAGAGAAATTTTCTCCATCTTATAAATACCTTCATTCCTTGCACACCTCGACGAAATTTTGCAAAAATCTCCACTCACGGATCCTGACTGACTCCAATCACCTCCCCTTATTTGAACTATAATTCATATTAATGCTTCTTAATTTATTGTTATATTTACATATATCACCGTTTAAGGGAACATCTTCTCCCTGATTTTTAAGCTAATTCTTTCTTTATTTGTCGTATGGACGTTGTGAAAAATGAATAAATCTTTAGTGCATCAGATGCATTAAAAATTTAGTACATCTACCCATTCATTTTATGATATGTGGACAAAATATATCATATCAATTTATTTTTCTTAAGATGATGTGATATTTTTTTGTACACGTGTTACAAAAGATTTATTGGTGGAAAAGAGCATTAAGAAGCATATCTTTCTACCTTTTTTTATTTCCACGGTCACAACTAGTTCCTCACCAGTCTTTCTGCGATAAAATACATCATAAAATCATATATTCACGTAAATGTAATATTTTTCACACACTGACATGTAGGAACAGTAGCCAAAGTACTACTATTGGGGAAAAAAAAATATCAAAATGTCACGCGAACAATAAATTTTGCCAAAATGTCACGTGGCATATTTCGCTACACTGTGTAGCGAAATATGTGTGCAAATAATTCGCTACACGGTGTAGCAAAATGTGTCAGAACGCACAGAACCAAAAATGCTATGTGTCAAACAGGGAGAATTTCGCTACACAGAACCAAAAATGCTGTGTCAAACAGGGAGAATTTCGCTACACTGTGTAGCGAAATTCTCCCTGTTTGACACGTGGCATTTTTGGTTCTGACGTGGCATATTTCGCTACACCGTGTAGCGAATTATTTGCACACATATTTCGCTACACAATGTAGCAAAATATGTCACGTGGCATTTTAGCAAAATTTACCATTAACATGATATTTTGATATATTTTTTATCCAACAGTGACACTTTGACCGGTGTTCCCAGACATGTATCATTCAATCATACATTAGTGGTCCTAGTAGAAGTTAACGACGGAGGAGCATTGGAAGAAGAAGTTAATAACGAAAGAGAGAGAAGTAGCAAAGTTAAAATATACAGCCACGCGGTGAATTTTCATTGCATCATACACGTATTACGGAATTGTACGACAAGGATGAAGAGAATGTGATGTTAGACCTAGATCCCTCGAATTTAAGATATATAATTAAGTCAAGAGCAACCATAATGTATAACTTTCATAATCATACTATGATTGGGAGAGTTTAGGATTGGAGATTTTTCTTTCATAGCTCAAGTATTCTACAATTTCATTTGTTTTGAATAAATTATTGTAAAAGAAGAAAAGAAGAAGAAGAATAATGCTCTGAAATGAAACTGAGTTTAACTACGTGGGTTAGGCATAGTTTTTAAGGGTATTAAACTATTAAAGTTTGATTTTCCATTTTTGGACAGTCAAGCTTTTGCTTAATATGGAAAGGAACAAGATGAAAGTTAGGCAGAAACCCTCTTTTGTTTTCCTTCAAAAACAACCGACAGCTGACCCAATTTTTCTCTCTTTCTCTGAATGGTCCTATGGAGAAGTAATTAAAGAAGCACTCTGTTCTTTTTTTCTCAGTAGCCATCATTAATACTGGTAAAGGCAATATAAAAAGAGGTCCCCTGTAATGTGTACAATAAAGATGCCTTTACTTTTAATTTATTTTCAAATATATTATGATATTAATTCACTAAAATTTTATATATATATATATATATATATATATATATATATATATATATATATATTTTGATACATTTTACGAGCTCCCTCTGTACGAGTTATTTGTTATTAATACTTAAACCTAAAAAGGGGAGAGAAAAAAAAAACTATGTGGGGCGAAAAAAGTAGGGGAAAATCTAATTTTTTTTCTAGTACAGTACAATATCCAATAAATGGAGAATCTACTCTCATTTCGATTCTCTCCAAGGAATAATGGGCGCAAATTGGTTAATTAATTTATAGTGAGTTTGGTAGTGGGTATGATGAATGGGTCTGTTTCAAGTGATGCTGTCTTGGTAAGTTCATCATCTGTGATTACTATCTCTTGAGCATGAGCATGAGCATGAGCATGATGATTGTTGTTGTTGTTGTAAAACTCTGTTTTTGTGAGCTCCTTTGCCCTTTGTACTTGTGCATTCCAGTCAGTTGTGGAGAGAACAAATAACATGAGAGCTGCACAAGAGGCTTGGGCTGCAAGCAACCCAAGCCAGAGACCAGGAAATCCCATTTTGGCAACAAACCCAATAAGAATTGCCACAGGCATACCCACAAAGTAAAAAGAGCCCAAATTGATGTTTGCTCCAACGGTGGGTCTTGCACTGCCTCTGAGGACTCCACAACCTGTGGTCTGGGGGCAGTTTCCTAGCTCACACAGCCCAACAATTGGTAATGCTATGGCCGTAAGCTTGAGGATTTCTTGGTCGTTGGTGAAGAACCTGCCCCATTGGTGCCTCATTAATGTGGTAAAAAGTGTTGCTGCAATGCCTAAAGCCACAGCACAAAAGAGTGACACTATCATGGAAATGCGCGCTTTTGCAGGACGGTTTGCACCTAACTCATTCCCCACTCTTGTGGAAACACCAAGGCTAAGAGATGACGGGAACACATAGACTAAAGATGTTGTTTGGATAAGGATTCCCATTGAAGCAATGGTGGCTTTAGGATTGACCAAAAGTCCACATAGTATTATCATGAGTTCGTACCACCACCACTCTAGGCAAACAGAAACGCAAGTTGGAATAGCAAGTGCAAGCAAAGATGACCATCCCCTGAGGCAATCCATGCTTGGTGAAACCCACGAGTCCTTATATACCCTCCAGAAGTAAACAAAGGAGGAAAGGAAGAGAAAGAGGTTGAGATTAGTCAAAACCATTGCCATAGCTACACCAGCAATACCCATCTTGAAATGGACAACTAGAAGGAAATTGAGAGGGACATGGAGGAGGACAGAGATGGCTGAGCAATATGTTAATGGTAATGTGATGCTTTGAGTCCTTAGGTAAATACGAAGAGGGTGGAGAAGTGAAAGGAAGAAAAGGTCTGGTATGGAAAAGAGAATGAATGTTTGTGCCGTTGATGATATTTCTTCGTCTTGACCACACCACAAGAGGATTCTCTTCATGTTAAGCCATGTAAATGAGATGGGGATGGACGTGGAGAGAAGTAAGAGAACAGTTCTTTGGAGGGTCAAGCCAAGTATCTTCCATTGTTTTGCTCCGTAGGCTTGTCCACAAATGGGTTCCATTCCCATGGCTAATCCAGAGATCACAGAGTAGCCAGTGATGTTGGCAAAACCGATGGAGAGTGAGCCACCTGCTAGCTCCATCTCACCGAGATAGCCAAGGAAAAGCATAGAGATCATAGCTCGAGAATATAAGAGTAAACCAGTGATGGCTGTTGGGCCTGATATCTTCCCTATGGCCTTCATTTCTTCTAAGACCTGAATGCAGAAAAAAAAAAGAAAAAAAAAGGAAAAAGGAGAAAAGACAAATAGTTAATATCAAGGGTATGCTAATCATAAACTGGCATTATTTGTTTTTTTATATGATGTGACTATAGAGATATTAACTAGCAACTTCATTTAATTTACATTCACAAAAAATGATGGTTGGATTTTCTTGTATTAATATATTTTATTTTATTTTTTTTCTCTTTCATTACCTCTTTAGGAGTTGGCCATCTATGAAGTTCATCTCGAACTTGATCATCAGAAGGAGGATCCAAGACTTTGGGGTCGGGAGTTAGGAGGTGGGTTTTTGTGGGACACAGAAATGGGGATGCTGAGGGTGGCTTTGGGTAATTACACATGACTAGCTATTAGTTCAAGCTGTAGTTCTGGATATATTGGTGAGTTAAGGAGATATATATTATGTATGTAACAACGGTTGGAACATATAAGAGCACTGCTTCTGCTTCCTGGCTTAGGCTTAGTGATCGTGCACTGAGTTTGAAGTTTCTTGAGAGAATAAATAAGATGGTTTTGTGTATGGGAGGAAGGGGGATGAAGGCGAGTGGGTTTTTATGCATGAAAGGCTTGGGCCCTACGAAGGTACGTGTCAAATGGAAGGAAATGCTAAAGTTTATAGTATATCAATTAGAAGGGGCAAATTTTTTATTTTATTTTTAAATAAACAAAAAAAGCTTGAACAGAAGAAATGCTTCATGGAGGTTTTGGGAGGCAACCGACCTTCTCTTTTCTCTCAAAATTAAAGGAGTATAGTATTATATATCATTATTTATTAAAAAAGGTGAAAAACAATTTGGGTGTGGCATCTTAAGAACAGCAGCACATAAAGCTTTCCTTACCTTTGAGTGTGGAGAGGAAACAAGTTCGGTCTTATCTTTTGAAACTGCAGAAAGGATGGATGGATGGATGGATGGATTTATTCGCTTTAATGGTTTTTTTTTTAGCCGTCAAATCGATGACAGTTTGATTTGATAATGATGGCCCTAATGGTGTTTTTAAACTTGCTTGGTTATTAATGCATTGTATGTGGATAATCTTTAAAGCACCACATTTGGCTTCTGATTTCCCTGTGTATGGAACATAAAGAATTTTATCCTGAAACTGGGGTTGCCAAGTGGAGAAGCAAATTCCCTTACTTGTGAAATAAACCCATTTATTATTATTATTATTTTCTTTTTCCTTTTTCCTTTGGTGCGGCATGGGGTACTTTTGAAATGACAAGGGTATACACATATAGTTATGTGGTCGGTATTTGTACTAGAAAAAATTAATATACTTTACTACAACATGCTTTGTTTTGTTTTCGAAGGTAGCTGCTGGTTGCTAATTTGGAAAGTGCTTTGCATTGCATGTTGTTTAAGGCAGCCAAGCCATGCATGTTCCATTCTGCCCCAACCATGTCATAAAACTCATTACTAAGTCCTAACACAACTACTACCTATATATAGTCATAGACCATCTGAAGCACCCAAAGGCAAAAACATTCCCTTGACTACTTTGTCTCACAGAGGAAGCAAGTTGTCTCTCGCATCCAATTTAGGCCCCGCACGGTTCTGTGCCTCTTGTTGTACTCCTCCTATTATCACTTGTTGAATGTTTGATCCACTAGCAGGCTGATACGTTGAAATATAGTGGATGAATGGGGGTACTAGACCATGTTATTAAGCTATATATGGATTGCAATTTTGGGGATTTCTTGGAGTTAAGCAATTGAGGAAAAATGTAAATAACATTTATAATCGAGAGAGTATTACAAATTAAAGAGTGCCGTCATCAAGCACTCCTCACTCCTAGGTTGTTTCCCTTGCATTTAGGTTTCGAATGAAGCTGACAGATTTGGCATTGCATTTTAAAAAAGTTGTTAAGAGTTCCTTCCTTCCTGCGATTTTATTTTAGTAACAAAAGGTCAAATCCAGTGGATAATATATTATACCTTTTTCCCATTTTCCCTTTTATAATAAAGGTTTATTATATATATAAAATGGAGGTAGGTGTTGGTGTCATACAAGGGACCACTAATGGGGTTAATGGAGAATGATGGTAGCTGGCCGTATGGAGAAGAGACAGATGGGAGATGGGAAACACCGGAGAGAGAATTACGTGCTCCAATTACAACCATTTAATCTGTATCATAAAGGGTAGGGAATTGAGATGAGCCTGTCTGTGTATAGGAGAGCATAGCGTTGTATATGTAAAAACAGAAGCACCTCTGCTCTACCATCACTATCTAAACACAAAGCAGATAAACTATCTATTTCCTTTCCCTTTGCAGTCTGAGCCACTTCAGCAATCTGTTTAATTTTGTTTTATTTTATAAGGGAAAAAATAAAAAAAATTCCTCGAAACCCGTGGTCATCCCATGTCAGATTCCTTCTGTTTGTAGCTCATCCAGTTGCTTTGAATGAAAGATAAGTATCATGCAAAGGAACCAATGCTTAGAAATTAATTTATAAAGTAACAGCAAAAGTACTGACAATGGACAAGCTAAGAAAACCAGTCTCATCCAAAGAATGAATATGAATGGAAGAAACCCATCTCGAATTTGGCATCCTAATTGAATTTGCAAAGTTCAGCCGAGTAAGTTCTAGAGATGCCTCCCACCCGAGACATTTTGGTTAAATGAATTGAAACTGAAGTTTAGGATCACGTGATGATGTCATACAAATTTACTGTGACATCAATTAAAAAATATATCTTAAAACAAATTGTCGAGCTCAAACAGGTTTTTTTTTTTTTTAATATATTAAAGTTTAAGTGAGATTAGATACGTTATCCCACGAGGATCGAGATAGATTTTCCAACCTCTTTGAAGATTTTTAGGAGAAATTACATATCGCTTACCAATAAAATCCTTAACTAACTATACCCACTCTTATTGGCAGACAGAATTTTTTTCTACATAACAAACAACTAAAATGCAAGTTTCGGGAAAAGAGTGATAGGACACATCATCGAAGCACGAACAGATTCGCTAAATCAAAATGTATCCCTCCCAACCAAACCTTTTTCCCAGCCATAAAGTGGTGAGATGCTTATGGAGGAACTCGTCAGGAACAAATCATCTGCCGAACCCTCCCACTCCTTTCTCTCCACGAGTCAATTTGCTCTCTGTTTTGGTTTAATTAACTACGACACAAACATAACATTATTGAATTCCACCATGAAGCAGCATTCGTAATCATTCGTATGCCAATATGTTTATGGACGAAATCCAGAAAGCATACCTATTAGAACTCTTGGTGAACCGTAAAATACGCATGACATGCAATCTAATGAGAAAAGGCTGGTGCCCAATATTTACCATGAAAATAAGTAAATAATCTGAACTTTTGTACATCAGCATAAATAGCTGTAAATATGTAACAATTCATTCACTTAATCCTCTATCAACGGGTAACACTAATTAACTGTAAATCATAATTAACCAGTAAAATCTATAAATCCAAACTTTGCAAAGTTTTGCAGGCTAACTAGACGGGTAAATTCCAGGAGTGCAGCTAGCACGTGGTTCGAATATTGGATCGCTGATAGTTCGGACAAATGATGATATAAAGGTTGATATTTTTAAATGCTCTTCGAGTCTTACTAACAGGCATTGTACGAAGAAATGAAAGCAAATCAGACTTCCATGAATAGTGAAGTGTATTAAACATGAGAATTTATTCCATGGTTCAAAAGAAGCAAAATAAATTAAATGCACACATTAAATGACCTTTATAAATCAAACCCGTAATGCAAAAAGTATTTTTAAAAGAAAAATGCTATGCCCAAAAAAATGGGGGCATTAAAATCATGTCTCAATCAAGGTTTCCATCAGCACAATTCACATATTCACTGTTGGCCACTAAGCACATTCATCAAACTAACGGAAAAAAAATGGCACAAATTTCTAAGATTCCAATACATCATGCTTGAAGCACCAACGCACAATCAGAGTTGCCTCAAAATAAAAGAATTTTTCATGTGGAATGATTCTTAATCAGCAGCAACTCATATTGGTTGGAAAGGATGTTGCCCATGAGTAATTTTCGAACCTATAGAAGATGCCCCAACTACTTTCCCATCGCATTTAGCCTTTAAAAGCAAAATTTCTTACACAGGTGGGACTGATTTATAATGCAGAAATTCTCCACTGATTGCAGATCAGTATTTTGGTGACAGCTTTTGTGATAACATTTTGAGTTGCCAGGATGTTTGGAAAAGTAGTGCTGTATGAATTGCTTCTTTTACATTGTTCCTTATGCAACAGGAGCATTCATCCTTGCTTACAGCCATTAGTGGGTCCCTCATGGTTGACAAAGCAGACCATTCTCACTCATCACTCATCAGGATCACCAAGAAGAGAGAGAAAAAAAAAAAAAAAATAGTCCAAAGCTTCCCATGCTTCAGAAAAAGTAGCACTCAAAAATTTGCTCATTGGCTTTAAATAATGACCAAAAAGACGAAAAACATCCATGTAATCAATTATTCATATTAGAAAAAGATTGGGCCGAGGGTGAGGGTGTAAAACATAACTATTTACAAATTATTGCTACCTGTTCATTCTCATAATCCCAATTCGAAAGAAATCCGCGCCTGAAGCAGAAAGAACATGATACCTCATACATTGCTTGTAGGCTTTTGAGCACCAGATCGGGGAATAGCCAAGACAGCTATGAATCCACTGGCAAGGGCTGCAACAGCTGCCACAGCAAAGGCTGGGGAGTTTCCTCCACCAAATAGCTGATCCCATGGTCCACTTCCCAAGGACACCACCATCTATTTCAAACATGATAAATATATAAACTCAGTAGCTCGAAATATGCATGTCCTATGCACAACTAAGATCCTTTTTTACAAAGTTCTCGCATACAGAAGATAAGTCACCATTAGCTTAGAACTGCAAAATAATTCATAAATGCTATAATTTGCAAGTAATTTCATAATCGAAGTATACTATATCTGTTGAAATCTGTCGGTCAGTTGAATTGTGATACTTTGGAGAAAACAAAATTGCAAATCAAATTTTCATTATATTTGTATGACAGTATGTGTTAGGAATCCCACATTGATTGTGTAGGCAACTAGTGTGGGATTTATAAGGCCTTGGGCACTCCCACCCTTTGAGATAGCTTTTGGAGTGGTGCACCTCAAGATTTTTATCAGTATGATGGAACCTACTTTTATTAATATAAATTTGCAGCAAATATAAATGGAGACAAGCTCCTTACAAGGATAAAATGAAGAAAATAAACCCAGAAAACTCCCAGAGATCTTCAATTTCCCCATAAGCCAATACTGAATTCATGTATACCCACGCGACACACATTGCCTACCTTTTATCCTATACTTTAGGAATATTCTAGAATAGTTACCATAACAAATTAACTAATTCATTAACTTTTAGGCCCATGGCCCAACAATACTTCTCCTCTAAAATTCACCTTGTCCTCAAGGTGAAAGAATAGACTAGGACTCCACCTGGA